ATCTGTCCTTCTCTCGACCCACAGCCTTTCGTTCTGTTTTCTCTCCCCTGCCCAGCTGAGGAGGGCAGTGACAGAGCAGCTTCTGGGGGCCCCTGGCCTCCAGCCAGGGTCAGCCCACCACAATGGCTGATGCCATCTTTCTGTGTTAGTTCTCATAAGTCTAGTAAACTGAAAAGGATGTTTATCTGTAAGAATCCGCAGTAGGCTATCTCATGAACACAACTTTATAAATGGTTTCTCTAGCAGCCAAGAGAAGGAAGTTACTTTATTGAAGGAAGTCATCTGAGAGCAATTCTCACAGCCAGCCTTCTAATGGAAATCAATTCTCCGTTCAGCAGAATCTACTTTTCTCTATTTCAGGGTGGCAAAATAGCACAGAAGCCAGACTTGCTTCTTGATGAACTTCTCAAATCTGAACACTCATACTGATAGAATAAATCTCTTCACACTCCTTTGCCTCAGGGAACACAGTGTCTACCCAAGTTATCAAGACCTCTTCCCTCTTGTTTGCCAAAACACTACTCCAGTTCCACCTGAGCTGTGATGTTAATAATGAAATTCATGTAGGTAAAGAGCAATAATTAAACCCAAAGAAGAGGAACTAGAAGGCTGTTGATACAGTTTCATTAAAAAGCTTTCATAAACTCATCTTGGAATAATTGCAAGAAATTGTTTCACCCCTTTTCTCTTCGCAAGTCACTTAAGGCTGTGTTCACTCTCCCCTGAAAGCACTGTATACTGGAATCATAGAGAGCACAGGAGCTGTCCTAACTTAGAAGCTGATGTGATTACTGCAGTAGAAAAACTCCGCCACACACTGCATTCTTGTGTGTTTCTGAAATCATACATTTCTTCTAAAAAAATTAGTCATATTTACTGAGCCTACATATTTCTGACTGGCTGCTTTGGGTCACTACCATGTAAGTACACTTCCTCTGTGCATTGTAGCATTTGTTATCTGCCAGCCTTTACAGCCATCTCCAACTTGATGATGACTAACCTCCTACAGTATTAAAAAATTATGTAGTCACAAACAAGAGAGGCAATTCCACTCACCGTTGTTAGGACTCTCATAATTGTGTCTATGTGCCAGCGTTTGGAAGGAGCATATCTAACAAAATTAAGAAAACAAGTTAGAGCAATAACTGCTAGCCTCCAACACCAGCAAGAAACCCACCATCATTAGAACCTCCCCATTCAGTTATTTCCTCACCCACTACTTCCTGAGGGGGACACACCCACAAAACACATACAAAAAAACCCCACAAACCAAAACACCACTCGCTTCACATTCTTTGATTTTTTTTGTAGTAATGCCAATACTGGAAAGCTGAATGCATATACAAGCCTGTATAATATAGCACAGACATACCTTGCATACACAATACTTCAAAGTCAGGCTGCTGATTACAATGGCTCAACAGTAATAAGATCATCCCACTGGTACAACTAACCAGAGAGAATGGGGGCATGCGGAGAGGGGACAGGGGCAGGATGTCAGCACAACACCTGTTCCAAAGTGCAGCAGAAATCAATATACTAGACTGGTTTAGTGATATGAGGACTATCCATATGGGACACACCAGTGTGTCCTGTTCCTCAGAGTGGGTTAAAACTGATAAGCTACACACAGATCAGCAAATGCAGAAGAGACGATCAACATATTCTCTCTTGGGGGGTTGAGGAGGGGGAGGAAAACCACACAAAATGCTCGTAATTCTGAGGATGTAAAAAAAAAATTAATAGCAAGTAGATTGACCCCATACTTTTCAGCTGCAAGAAATATTCCAGATGCACAGTCTGCCTTGAACTCTGGTTCACAGGAATCTAGGAAATACAGCAACTCCTTCATCATTCCACGGACATTGTTCCCATTAACAAGAGCAAAACTGAGTTCCATTGCACGCCTAGGGCAAGAGACAGAAAACCAATAAAGTACCGTCACTTAGTGAAGTAAAAAAAAAAAACCAACCCCAAACAAGTCCAGCTACTTAAATGCACTTGCCTTTTAATTAAGAGGAGAGCAATATTTACTAATCCTGGGAGAACAGCCTTCCACATTAAATGAACCAGGACTTTCCTGTTCACAGGTAGACAATAAATACCCACTTCCAAAAAAACTAAGGGGGGAGTCAGGGTGTGGGGTGTTCTAGAAACACCTATCCAGATGTCCTAAAGGCTAGAAATATCTTTCAGCAACCAGGATCCACCAGCATTAACATCTGATTGTCCAAGTATTTGTAACTGCATGCTGGTCATTTCCGACACACAACTGCAATAAGTAATCATGCTAAAACATGCTTTCCCCAGCTTCAGGGATCCAGAAGAGACCTGTTTCAATCTCTACATATTAGAGATTCAAATACAAGAGAGATTAAAATTATTAACTGATAAGCTTTATCGTATCCTGTCAGATAGACTACATAAGATTTTTAGAACCCCAAATTAACCTGGTGCTCTTTTCAGAACGCATTCTCCACCACCGCCTCCCCCAAGTTGACACCACCACCAGACAGAGTACTGGATCTTTGCTATTCCTTGTCGTATACATTGAGAGGTGGGAGGTTAGTCCTTAGCCCTTCTACTTGAAGTTTCTGTAGTTGATTCTACTGTGCACTCTCCCATTTTTGACATTTTTTGAATGAAGACTACCACCTTCAAATGTGACTGATTTCTGTACAATGTTGGCATTAGTTATGTCAAAATGCATGAAACTAATGCATTAGAACAGCTTCACTAAACAACCCTATTCTTTAAAACTGAGCATTTGGTGTAATCCAGAACCCAAATCTCCCAGTTGTGTCCTCTTCATACTATCAGGAACTTTATTCTCTGCCTGTCACTGAGACAGCCTACTAGAAGACAAGAAAGATCCTCATAGCACATCAAAATCTTCCTCCCCCATTTCAGTCATCTTTTGAAGTTATCCGGATAGTTGCTGAACTACGTGTGTACAGTGATTTCATACTGCCTGATGTGCAACAGACTGCATCCAAAATTAGGCCAAAAGGCCTATTTTGTAATATATACTTTCTTCAAATAGACCAGACTTCAATATGTGCATAACTCCAGCAATTTTCATTAAAATCATAATGTTGAGATGCATGAGTTATACTGTCATCCTTTCATATATTTACTGGCAGCAAACCCATGAGTAGTCCCACCGATTCTATCTTGCTCCACTGTCAAGCTTGCCAGTCTACCACTACAAGGACACAGCTATTTTTTCTGATCGCTTAGGATTTTCCTAGTGTTCACGAAACATCAACAATTTAGACCAGGCACGTTACCCAATCCAATGGTATTGGGCACAAGCTATTTGTTCTCAACAATCTGAAAACACCTACACAGCACTGCTTCTCAACATCTCCCTAGTAATTATCGTAGTAAGGATTTCTACAGAATTGTGAAATGGAAGTGTGTTATTTTGCTTTTACCCAACTAATACCCAGGGACCTAGAAAACAGAGAGGTGTTCAGAATCAGGGTGGAAACATATAACTAAATTGTTATCTTTTATCATCTAGATCTGTGGCTGGTTGAAGACCTATACCATTATTAGAATTGTTTTCAGCCCTCCAATTAGTTCCCAACCCTTACACCTAGCTCTACTGTTACAAGTTTTCCATGTTTATGTTTAAATTTTCAGTCATGTTATAGCAGATATATAGATACTGCAGGTGCACAGAAGTACTCTGCAATCTTCATATCAGGCATTTATCTCAACACATATTGCTTACCTTTAACCATATTACACAGCTCATTCCTGTCATGAAGCTCCTAATCATGTAGTTTGATGATATTAAGCACACAGACAAAAAGACTTGAATTAAATGGCAATGCTATTCTGAATTATACTACAGAGACCAAAGTTGCACTGCAATTGTTAAACGGTGATGAGAACAGGCCATGCTTCAGAAAACCAAAATCAGGTATTGTGTCTTTCCCTCAAGACCCAGCCCTTGAAACTTGCTACCTGGAGACTCTGACACCCAGTTGATATATTGCTTCAATGAAGACAGTGCATTGTCAGCAGCAGGAGTGTCAGCATGGCAACATCATGCTCTGCTGATGGATCACTCAAAGGCTTCATCCTCCAACAGCACTCAGACATGAAGCATTTGTAGTATACCTTTGTTTTCCTAGCAGGCACCAATAAAATGCTTTCATCGCCTTTATCCAAAACCTAGATGGGGCTTTGCTATTCCACAACGAAGCCTCATGCTGGCTCTGGCACCCAACAGCAACAGCAGCCTGACTTTCTCAGCCATATAAGATACTGTTGCAATCTATCCCAAAACACAAATTTGTAAAAATAGATTACATGATACCCATTACATAACAGTTAAAATTAAGTTTCAGAAGCAAGACAGATCCAATTTCTTTCCTATTCTGTACATATTAGACTGAGCAGTGCCATTAAAAATCTAGATCTGATTCAAAGACAGACATAAATTTGAAGAATGTCTATCAGAATTAGTATCTGGTGTGTCTAATCAGTTTGACAAGATGGAAAAAGAAGAGGTTGAGCAATTTGGAAAGTATATCCATGATGTGAGGAGAGCTCAATGAAATTTTGGCCTGCAGCAGACAGACTCCACAAGATGCAACAGGGACGCAACTGTCCCCATCACTGACATGTTCTATGCTGCACTGAGCTCAGATCACCAGTTATAGAAAGAATAATGATGAGAAAGAGAGCTCTGAAAGAAAGAGCAAGCAACCGACAGGCTGAAAGACTGAATTTAGAAGAGCAGTATTCCATATAGGTTGGGCAAAAATGAGGTCAAACAATTCAAGAGTACTTACCTGTGTCTCACAGAAACAGGAGAAAGTTACTATCATGAGTAAAAGGAATATTACTTCAGTTACAAGAAGAAACAGAGGAAGAAGTTCAGACTGAGTATCAGAAAAAATGCTTCCTGTAGTGAGAAGTAAGGTTGCAAGCTCTCCCATTGCCAAGAGAAGCAGCAACGTACTGTTATTTAAATAACAAATGAACACCAAGAACGCATAACGGAGTGTGGTTTGTAAGCAAGTTATTTGAACAATCAACTTAAGTCTGAATTCTACCACTGCCTAATCAAATTTAATCTAGAATACATTATTTGGATGGCTTAACACTGCTTCAAGACAACATGGCACTGCCTGTTCATCTGGGAAAGAAAAGCAATACGGAGTATGTCATAGTAGCTTTAACTAGGATCATGCTTTATGGAGGAGTTCTATCTTGTGAGCACACAATCTGATCTCCATTGAGACTCCATTTTGGAAAAAATCAGGTAAACATAAAAATCTTTTTTTTTTCAATCCAAGATGCGTAAAATGTAAAAGCAGCTTCCCAAAGAAGGTGGCTGTACATTTTCATTACCTTCTTTGAAGTATGAGCCATACTATGCATTAATACTAGTCTCACTTACAGTTCCCCAAGATTATTGTCATTTTCCCCATGTGCTGCTCACTTTCCATAGGCTGTCAACCTTGAGAGTCTATTTCACTGATATTTCAACTACCTTTTAATGGAGACATCCAGATCCTTCAGGCAGTCCACGATTGTGCTTCTGTGTCGCTGTACTGCATTATGGTCTGTCTGCACAGTTTTCAACAATGACGTCAAAGCTACATATCTGCAGTAAGGACATACAACAATAAGTAGTTGACTGTAGGCATTTCTACACACAGACACTCACACCCCCCAAAACTTAGTCTTATTTTGCAACAGAGCAGGGTTTTTGTACTCAGTCATGAATGGAAATCTTCCAGGGGACTGCCTGGCCTATCTTCAAAGGTGAGTTTCCATACTAAACTGTAACATGCCTAACAACATCCTGGTGCCTGGACAACTACCTGTCCCAATTCCTGGGCTCATGTCAGGCTCATGTCCAGTCTTCACAAAGATTTTGAAAAGACAAGGCAATTAAAGATTAGACCTCCGCAGATCATACATACACTCCAACTAGCATGAGCTGCAATTCCCAAGACTAGAGTCTTCTACCTATACCATAATTTGCAAACAAAACGCCTACATATGGGACTTAATTCTAGCAGTTGCAGTAATTCCATGTCCAGATTCATAGTGACCAAAGCACAACCAAAATTCGTTGTTGTCAACAGCACGCAATCAGAAAAATCACACTCTTTGCCTAATTTGTCAGATCTCCAATGCCCACTCTGATTTTGAATATTGCCACAGACCAGTTGTGACAAGACAGGAGATTCACAGGTTATTGGAAACAACATTTGACTAGATTAAGAAATCCCATGTTAAGAATTAGATCATACACCCAGACTCATCAACTAAGAAGGGCACGGCAACAATTACGATTTGCACACAGAAAAGAACACACCAAAAAAGAAGAAAGCTAGACAGTCATACTAACCCCAACAACAGTATTTCCCAATATGGTCTCCTGGAAAGCTCTACTTCAGCATAATCTTTGTGTAATTCCTCCTCACACATTTTAAACTGAGTGTTGCCAAAACATACTTCATACAACTTACCTAATATTTTTGTCGTTGTTTAACAAGAAACGGCCTAAGATGTTAATGGCTAATACCTGCAGAAAGAGTGAGGGAAGTTCAGTGATCAAAAAAGGCTGCTCATCATCTTCATTGTCTCAAGATGATTTTCAAGGCAACATGTCAAAAGCTACCACTGCAGTTCTTGGCCAAAACCATAACATAAAGAACTCCAGAAGCTGCCTAAGCAGAGGAAAAGCTAAGACAAACACAGCACAGGCTCTCTCCTGCACTCAAGGGAACACAGTCTGCAGGAAGTTTTGCTTTTTCATTTTTGTTATTTTAAAAAAACAAAAACAAACAAACCAAAACACAAAACCCAAACACACCACTTTCTGAAGAGACTAGAGTCTTATCTAGAGCCAACTGTGGAGCTATGTTTGGGTGAAACAACTTTGCTTTGTGTCCTCTACACAAATTACTCTAATATAAGCCTAGGGGAAAAAAAAAAAAAAGGGCCATAGCAAAGACAACTTACTCTCAATCCACTCTCAGATTTTATGTCCATAATAGTCAGCACTGTTTCATAGAGAATGGCATTTCCCACGTTTTTACTTGTTTCTGTATTAGTGGCAACCTGAAGAAAAGAAACAAAGTAAGCGACTCCAACCCATGCAAACCGGAACCCCTTTGTGCTGTTCTGCAGAACAGGCAGTGAAACTAACCAATTCCTAGCAAACAAGCATCACACCCATGAACATGTGTCTCTTGCAGCAAAATTCAACTCAGCATAGCAAGCAGCTGTACCTCACCAGTGCTGCTGATTCCAAGTTATAAGAAACCAAAAGAGAAAGTTTAAGCTGCTCATCAACCTTGCAGATCTCACCTGTGCAAGTATATCGTTCATTGCTTCACTAGAATCATCATCATTTCGCCCTAAAATTCTTAGTAATCGCAGGATTCGTACCTATTTGACAAAACAAAGCAAAGAAAAGCTCACTGGATGGCAGTTTTACATGGGGGCCATGAAATGCCCAGTACACTTCCTGAGGAGTGGCAAAGAAGCAAAACAAGCTGCTTATTTCCATTCCTAAGCAAAATGCTTATCCTTAGCAAGACCTTTACCAACAAGAACATTTCCTTCCCACTAGCCAGAACTGTGAAGAGTACCCCCACTACCCACCAGGCACAGCCTTGTAAGGCCAACACATGTTGCTGCTTTTTTCACAACTTCACTAAGTTGTAAGGCACTACAACTGCTCTTTAAACTAAGGCAGTTGTCTTTCACTAAGGTAGATAGAGCTGATTGTGCAAGTGCTCTCCAACAAAGACACCAAATCTTAAAATCAACACAGCTGCCCTGAAGTAACGACTGCATCACACCTAAGTTTCAAAACACAGTACTAGACTTAAAGCTATCAATCACTGTCTGCATCAGTTCTTACCTGCAAAAAGGGGTCACTGATCCCAGACACATCATGCTCTGGTGAATATCCAGACATGATAAGATTCTTCAGAATACGAACTAATTGGGGAACAAGCTGTGAAGAAGAGAGTAGTCCTATTAGGGTGTTGTTCCTCCCCCCCCCGCCCCCCCCAGCTTTGAAGTACACATCCAAGAACAAATCTTGTATTTGAAAGCAAGTCAGTCTATGGATTCTTCCCCAAAGTTCAACCTGCACACCTAGAGTTGATTTTATATGAATACCTACAGCTTAGCTAGGGCACAACTAGAAACAGTTCAGTTGGGACCTGAGCACCATGTTGTACCTTTAAGTACTAAATCTACCAGAGTTTGGCAGTTGAGACCTGAGAGGAAATACCAACTTAAATTCCTCTCTTCATGAAAAAGGGATGTGCTGGGACTATTAAAATGGTATCATTTCAGGGCTTCACTTAGGAGCTTTACATTAGCTCCTGACTCATTTGTAGCATACATCTCCATGGAAGCATCAGGCATAGCCAAGAGTTTTGATCTTTTCAAGTACTGTACTGCTATGATTAGAGTAAGTTATTCAGAATTCCTTCAAGTTTGACACTCCATCCGACTCAGCTTCTAGAAAGAAAAGCTTTGTGATCTGCTTCCTCTCCAAGAGTTTCCAAATAGGGCAGAGAATGGACTTTCCTCCAGCCTTCCCCCAGGGCTCTATTGTTAGACAACTTCTTCCCTGCAAGTAGCTCCAGGGTCTATTCTCCTCCTCTTGCCAAACTTCTCAGCAAGAGCAGCAAGACTAAACTGACCAAATTCTTTGTGTCACTACTGTTAGAAGGGCTCTGCATAATAGCAGAGAAACTGATGGACACACTGCTACCATGCCAGATTCAGGAGCACAAAATCATATCAACTTACACTTTTCATATTTTAGAGTTTCCTTCCAACTGTGTGGGCTAAAAAAACTTTCAGAAGCTATTCAGATTCCTCCGATGTTGATAGCACTGGTCTCCCACTAGACATCTACCCATAGGAATAAGTTAACTTTCAAAACTTGTACACAGCTTTGAAGAAATGCTACCTATTTGCGTAAGTTTGGTTCCACTCCCTCCATCTCGGGCATCTCTAGCAATGCGCTTCACCTGTCAGGGCAACTCTGAGGAACCATGATAGAACTTCTCTGTATCTCACATGCCGAGCAAGTAATCAGTTTAGGGCAGAACGTGGCAAATAAGCCAATCAATAAAGCAGACAAACTATAACAGATTTACTATTTATCTCCAAAAACCTTCACAGCAGCTATGAGTAACAAAAGATTCTGAGGGATGAAATGGAAGCTCATTTCCACTGCATTCTATGAAAAATCTTAAGGTTGAAAGACAGAAATTGGACTCACTTTCATTGAGTTGTACAAGAAAAATCACTCCTGGTGGATGATGTAGAGATGTAGATCTCTACAAGTTTTATTTCTTCCACAGAAAGTTTCTTCTATCCCTCTCAGTGCTGGTATTGTTAAGACAATCCAGACATTGGCTGGAGATGAGGTGACAAACTAGACAGAGGTGTTATCGTGGCTGTACTAAGTGGATTTTTTATTCCTGAAGGATGGCGAGCACCAGGACAGCACCATTCTTCCTCTCAACTCCATGCATAACAATTACAGTTTATCAAAATCTTCTCTACAAAACCCTTCCCAATGATTCACCCTTAAGACTTAACAAATTTTCCCATCCTTGAGATGGGCTGCTCCTGCATTCATGTTTGCCTACTATAAGTCAGGAACTGCATTCACGCTAAATTTTTACCAGATCAGAGATTGCTTATAGTAAAGTTGCCACTTCTGACAACATCAAATCAAGATGGTGTTTCAGATTCAGGACAGAATCGTACCAGAACGTACCAAAAGCACAGTGTAACTTACAGAGCACAACAGCTGCATGTGAACAGACTAAGTGGGTAATGTTTTCTGGACTAAATCCCTGTACATTTGTGGTACAGTGCAAGAAGAAAACCAGCCGAGTTTCCCCATCATCTCTTTTTATTCCTACCTTCTCTCTTCAGGAATTACATACTCCTCTGAAAACATGCATTTCATAAAACACACAAACAAAAGGAACCATGAATTTCCTATCATCCGCCTTAAAGAGGAAACCAAAGGGTGCTGCAACATCTTCTCTCAAGACAGAGTAACAGACAAGTGCAGTGACCTGCTGGAACATTTCTGGAACCCCAATTAACATTTTCTTTGCCTTCTAACATGCAAAAGTTATCAGGACTGAGGACAGAACAAAGGGAAACATTACAGCCATGGAGATCGGTTGAGGGCCACCCCCTCCAATGTTCTGTAGTCAAATTACAGCCATGAAAAATATCAGTAATACAGCTGTACTCAGCAGCTCTTTGCAGCACAGTAAGCCCACTTACAGACGGTTAAGTAACTGTCTCTCCTGCTCCCTTTTGGGAATCACCCAAAGTTGCCCAATGCTTCAGGCAAAACACAAAGCCCAGTTTGTGACAAGAAGAAAGTCCAGGGCTACAGTTTGCATAGGTACAAAAAAAAATCCCTAAAGTATTCCTCAAGTGAGAGGGAGCTTGAGGAAAGCAGGGTGATGTTTGGAGAAGGCCACAACTGAGATTCAGGGCTGCCATGGGTATAGAGGTTTAGTGACAAGACCAGACCAGCACACAAAAAGCATTAGACAAATACAAATGATCTAAGCATGTGGCATCAATCACAAATGTGGCATTAAGAGACACTGCCTCACAACAGACAAACATCTACAGATTCAATGCAAACATGCACCATCTAGAAGAATTAACTCTTACCTTTTCATTCTAACACACAGCAGGATTCCAAACAGACAAAAGGGACAAAACAGACGAAGCAGGCATTAGGGACAGATCAACGTTATACCATTCTCAGCATAAACAACTACAAGAGATAGCTAGAAAAGAATCTACCTAGTATCTGAATTTTGTGGACTCATCTCTTCCCTCTTTTCCCAGGATTATTATCTTAACCGAGCAATTAGCAGGGATGGCTACCTTCAAGATGACCTTAGTCTCACTTTCATTCTTGCTTTCACATATACAATCAGGGCAAGGGAAGATGCATGCCAAGATGCTAAGATTCAAAGGATGTACTGTTTGAAATCCCTCATGATATAGACAAGTCAGGGAAGAACAAGAAACTGGGCATGCAAATAAATAAGCACCTTTAACACTTTCCAGAGCAGCAAATGGCCAGTTCTGATCTACCAGCTTTATTCAATTTCTCCTTCTTTGACCAAGAAGTCAGAAGGATAATCAATACAATTTTCAGATGCCCTTCTATTCGTAGTCTTTCATATGGCAATAATATTGCACAGCACATTATAGCAAACAGCATAAGGAAGTTTGTACAAGCAGCAAGACACAAACATTCTCTGGAGTGTGTCCAGAGAAGATTGACAAAGCTGGTGAAGGGCCTGGAGAAAAAGTCTTACGAGGAGTGGCTGAGGGAGCTGGGGTTGTTTAGCCTGGAGAAAAGGAGGCTGAGGGGAGACCTTATCACCCTCTACAACGACCTGAAAGGAGGTTGTAGCAAGATGGGGGTCGGTCTCTTCTCCCTGGTAACTAGTGATAGGACAAGAGGAAAAGGTCTCAGGTTGCGCCAGGGGAGGTTCAGGTTGGACATTAGAAAGAACTTCTTCACTGTTAGAGTTGTTAGGCATTGGAATGAGCTCCCCAGGGAGGTGGGGGACTCACCATGCCTGGAGGTGTTCAAAAAATGTTTAGATGTGGCGCTTCAAGACATGGTTCAGTGGGTTTAGCGAGCATGGTGGCATCGGGTATACGGTTGGACTTGATGATCTTTGAGGTCTCTTCCAACCATAATGATTCTATGATTCTATTCCTAACCAGAGGAGGAAGAGTGACATTGACTCTCAAACCCTTAAGTTAAAATGGAAAATTATGTAATATAGCATGCTCGAGAGGAATCTACAGAACTAGAACTTCCATTAGTATTTTTGACCTGAGTTTATAAAATTGTGTGGCTGTGGTTAAGGCATTCAGGTGTTTGTATAAGCCTCAGTTTTTCATCTTTGCCTCTTTAATACATTTGTGATTCCAACGTCACTGTGCAATTAGCTATAAAGAGTGGAAAAAACCCTAAGGGAACATCAAAGAGGACACTTTAAATCTAACTTTAGGATGAGTTTCATACTGTACAGTCTTAAGACTGATGTTTTGTAACTTACCCACTTATTGAAGGAGATTAGGGCTACATACACACAAAATTCCCAAATGTAATTTTTTTTTTTTTTAATTTTGATAGTAAGCAGACAGTATCATGAATTTATTCACCCAAATAGTTGTAAGGATTTTATTAAGACGTGCACACTGCTTTCACTAGGGAGACCAATAGGACGCATTGGTAAAAAAAAAAAAAAACCCACAACAAAAAAACCCAACCCACCACAAACCAACCCATGAATATGAACTCTGCGACATTATCAGTTCACACTTACCTTTCTAAAGTGTGCAAGCATGTCTGGGCTTCTCTCACACATTTCTGTGAGGAGGACAACTGATGTGTGAAGAACACCTAAAGGTGAGAGGGAAAAAAAGAAAAAAGTATCTGCATTTAACATAATTTTATTGACTCCAGGTACGTGACAAAGATCATAAGGAAACAACAGGAAATCATTAAAGAAATATTCTTGCGTCCAACATATTTACCCCAAAATACATTTGCACTTGCAGCTGTGCCCAAGGGAAAGCAGACAGCAATGTGCTCACATCTTAAAGCTGCAACTACAGGCCAAAGGAGGAGAGAAATTGGACTTTGTCTGCAGAAACTTGCATACTAAATATACAGTCAGATGGCAACAGACATAGTTGAACTAGATCATCTTTAAGGTTCCTTCCAACCCCAAACATTCTATGATTCTATACAAACATAAGACTGTAGAAGGACAGTATGTGTTAATTGCATTGCTGGTGTTGGGTTCCTCACACTTCCCAATTTTCTCTTTTGATTTGGGTACCCTAGCTGACCTTGTGCGACCTGAACTGGGCCTTCCTCAGAAGGTCTCAGAAATCGGTCTAGAGAAAGACTATAGTAGACTGCTTAGTTAGGCCAGTGTCTGCACACTGGTGGTCACGTGCTGTGTGCCCTGCCTTAACGAAACCCAGTCAAAGTGTCTCTGAAAATAGTCAGAAAAGGCATGTCAGTTACAAACCATTTAACTAGATGTCAATGCCAGATAACTTGTTAGTGAGATATAACCTTGGAAAGCATGAAACTTCAACAATGAGCATTATTTTACATCCACATTGAGCTGTAACACAACAATCCTTCACAGATGCTAACTTTTTCAGTTATTCATTTTATGTAGCTGTTAAGTCTGTACTGGAGAGCGCCTGACTCAGGAAGAGACTAGAAGCCTGCTTAATAAGCAATGTTTTCTACAGAGATGACAACATATATATTCCACAAGCTATGCAGTTTTCTGACCTATTGCAGGTTCTAACCAAAATCTGTTTTGAAGTACATAAATATCTATCTATAAAGCTTGTGTCACAGCTTTCTTAACACTGACACTGCTTACTTATCACAGAGACCTCCCAAGAGGCTGCTAAAAGGGTTTCATACGTATTTTCCTTCAGAGAAAGCTCAATGCAAAGCCCATGGCCAAGACTGCTGGAAAGGAGATGCTCATTTTTAAGAATGAGAAAAGCAGAAAGGATGATCCAGTTCTTGAATTCAGGTGAACTTAGACTCGATTCTCTGCTTGGCCATGGCTTGAAGAAGAGCATTCCCATCTTTAAAGAACAGCTTTCAGCTTCTCAAGGTTGCATAAGACAAAGACACAGGATCTCACACTACCAAGTTGGATCATGTAGGCATCACTTACTGACAGAGTCTTACAGACCATTGCCTATTTGAAGCAATGCCTGGTCTAAATGTTCTGATCATCACGTTTTAAATCAAGGTAAAGTAGCTGCACACACAAACCACATTCCAGATACAAACTGACCTGTACCTCAAAGGTTTACTACACATGCAGGAGGAAAAAAAAAAAAAAAAAAAAGAAACTATAGCTTTTCAGGAAGCTACTGTGGCCCATTAGTACTGCTGGCACTTACAACTATCCTGTCTTGAGACAGAACTTCTTCCTGTAATGGGTTTCCAGCATCCAGCACTGCAAACATTTACTGTAGAACTCCTAGTACACTAACCTCTTTTTTTTTTTTTTTTTTTAAGGCATATGCTCTTTGCAGATGTGCCACAGGACTAAAACTTCGGGAAGTGATGTAAATTAGTCAAGGTGTTAATATTAGTATTTCTCATTAAATAATCTTCGAGAAGCACTTGTGCAAGAAAATGCATTAAGACAGAATAATCTCGCAAAGGACCACTAAAGTAAGAATCTGTTTTATGATGTAGTTCTGATGAAAAACAGCACTGAAGAAAGACTCCTTCCTGACAGTGATGTACGTAGCTCAGTCCTGGGAATGCCTGCTAAAATGATGTCACTGAATCCTACAGTGCTATGCTAACAGAAGAGACACACACAAAAAAGGAAACCCTAAGAAGTGCACTTTAGAGCCCCTTTAGGCAGTATATTGGATAAAAATCACAAACTTTCCGACTCCACTGAAATGTATCAAAAAACAGTGAAAGGGTTCCTTTTGCCACCTATGCCATGTAAAAGTCCTGCTGAGTAGCAGTCATACACATCCTTTCCTTCTGAAGGACATTTATTTTCACTGCATAGAAACAGGAAGAAACAAATCATGCAAATACACCTCAAAAGTTCCTTCCAAATAAAATGCGTATGTAGCAAGTGCACCATCTCATAAAGAACGGCACAGCCTTGCTGCGTAGTATCTCTGATATTACCATGGTTCTTCTCATTCAGCAAGTTTTTGGTGGCTGGCAGGAACATCTCCATGAGTTCAGGCACCTTTCTAATGACATGAACAGCGCACAATGCCGCCTGTACAGGAAAAACAGCTCTGTTAGTACATACTGTAATGACAATGATACATGTTTCCAGAACATCTAGCACAGTGGAGACTATCAAAAATTCCATTACATACAAAGGTGTGGAAAGTTTATGGTACATTTTTCCATGTCTGTACTACAAGTGATACTAAATAGCATCACAGAGAAGAGTTCAATAAAACTACCACCAGTGAGGAACGCAGGGAAAGCACTGAGCTACAAAGTAATACTCCCACTAGCACAGGTTCATTTTTACATTATTCACTTCAGAAGCAATATTAACTGAAAGCAGCTCTGCCTTTAATAGGGCTACTTCAGTCCGTCTTCCTGTTGTTAGGGAGGGGATAATGCATTGGAAGCAAATAATTAAATTTATGTCAAATTATGGTTCATTTTCTTTCCCTTGAAGATCATCTGCTTCCCTGCAAAATAATCTCCTCCTGCAGGTGATGGGTCCCATGAAAAACAAAAGTATACTGCATAAAAATTGCCTACTTCTTCTAGGGTGCAGAAGCAACAGGAGACACTATTCTTTGCAGCTGCTTGAGAACCAAGTGCACTGAGTGCCCCTCCTAGAATACAGCAATACTTCTTAGCATTGCTTTCTCTCCAATGACTCTCTAGATCCAGCACTAGACAAAGTAACAATGCATCTCTTCCTAAATTTTACTGCTCCCCCACCCTCCTCAAGACTTAGCAACGAAATAAATTTAAAAGAACAAGTGTGATTACACCTTGCAGATGCTACAGCACACTTGTTATGGAAACAAGACAATGTATAATTGTTTGCCCATTTCAAGCCCTTAACCTTTCCACCTCACATACTAGTGTCATCATCATCAACAGAAAGGATCAAATAGGTTCAAATCTTCAGATATCAGCCTGCACTGTTAATGATTAAAGCTTCCCTGGACTTATCTGAGAAGACATAGAAATAAAACTGATGACTAGAAGTTTGGGGTTAATGTCTGCGAACAGGCAGGTGTTCAGATTACCAAAAATAACCTTAAGGTAGAAAGTATCAAAATAGAAACAACTGCATCACCTGTTGGAGGCTTGTCTTTTAGAGGCTTACACACATTCCTAAAACAGGGATTTTTGCCCTCTGTCTTGCACATTGGGAAAATACTCAGCTAGTGTGATCCAAGCCATCCAGTATTCCAGATACTAGCAAGGTATCCGATCAATCTTGAGTTTTAATCCATAACAAAGTATTCAAAAGTTCCCTGAAGTACCTTCTTCCTAAGATAGGAGTTGGAAGTTTTGAGGAGCTTTTCCACCTCTCCTGCAAGGTCTCTGCACATTTCTGAGGAGCCCATGCAGCCAAGAGTGCAGAGTGCCAGCCCCTGCACATACTGCGTGCTGTGATTAAGGTCACTGCAAAGGAGAACAAAGAAACGCCAATCAGCATGCACACAGAGAACCTGAACACAGAAGAAAAGGCGTCTACATCTACAGTCATCTAACCAGCTGCACACATCGCCCAGAACTCTCCAGGTTCTCAGCTACCTGAAAGGAGGTCGTAGTGAGGTGGGGGTCGGCCTCTTCTCCCAAGTAACAATCGATAAGACAAGGGGAAATGGCCTCAAGTTGTGCCAGGGGAGGTTTAGATTGGATATTAGGGAAAATTTCTTCACCGAAATGGTTGTCAATCATTGGAACAGGCAGTCCAAGGAAGCGGTGGAGTCATCATCCCTGGAGGTATTTAAAAGACATGTAGATGCGGTGCTTAGGGACGTGGTTTAGTGGTGGGCTTGGCAGTGTTAGGTGAACAATTGGACTTGATGATCTTAAAAGTTTTTTCCAACCTAAATGGTTCTATGATTCTACCTGGGAGCATGACTTAGGAGAAATGGTAGCTTTAAGTGCATGTACCACAGGGTTTGCTACTACTTCTACTTAGAATCATCAATTATAAAGATAAAATACTTGGTTAAAACTATCAGATGGGTATCTAGGGATTGAGCTAAGAAGGAAGATCACACAGAATTCCATTAAAACTTTTAAAGTAAAGACATAATATTTTATTTTGGAACTCGCATGCAGAAAAGAACCTAACATGAAGTACAGTCCTGTAAACGACTCTGTGGGTTGTCCCAATTTAATCATGTTCTAGGATAGGCTTTAGCTTCTGCATTTACAAACCAAACAGTCCATAAAAAAAAAAATCTGTGTAAAAATATCCTCTATCCTAAGTAAAAATCACAACTCCCACCACTCACACACCTTGAAAATAATCCATAGAGGAATTTTGTTTAGCAATCCTAACTATTCATATGTGTAAGGAAGTTGTGAAAAGCAGTCAATAAGAAGTTAAACCACCTAAAAGCAGATGCTATTCATGAGGTCAGCTACCAATGTCACACTAAGTACAAGACAACATAGCTTCCACATGGCAATGCCAATAGTCTTCAAAACTGTTTTCTACACTACTTTTCCATCAGACTATTTGGTACTCATGTTGTCACAGTATCCAGGATTCAATGTTGAAGAAAGTAAAAACTACAGTTCCTGGTTTGGGAGGTGAGGGCAGCTGGGGATTGCATGATGGGAGAGCTGGGGAAACAAGTGGTATGTAACCAAATGTGCACAACGTGCAGAAAAGCAAGAGACAGTCTTCCATTTGTAACATCAAGCAGCTACGGCAACATGCAGATGAAGGAACAGATAGCACATGCCACTAAATGGGTTGCTTTTTTGTTTCTTTCCTTTAACAAGTTTTTGGCAGCTATATAAAGCTGTGTGTATAGCAAGTATGTGCTTCACAAGGGTGCTCACTTTTTTTGTATTAAAAATCTAGGTCTTGCTATAAAATAATGAAATACAATGCCATAAATCAAATACCTTAATGTCTAGATAAAAGCAATACAGAAGCCAATGAAGAAAGCAATAAACAACGCACTGAGGTAGTGGGAAGCTGTCCACCAGTTTTGCTCAACTTCAGTCTGACCCATTTCCAGTTCAAACTCACTACACCCTTACCACACAAATTCATTTTAGTACAAACAATCAAAAGAAGTGTTAACCTAGCAGCCTGGTGCTAATGGAAGACCCTCACAAGTATGCCATTTCAATGAAAAATCTTTAGTCAAATGTCCCTTCTCTCCTGGGCACTAGGTCCAAAGTTAGCAGATCCTCAAGCACACAGTTTTGTCAAGTTTCTTTCCAAGCACTTTGAGGCCACAGTCTAACTGAAGATCAACACTTTACTTGCTAATATCTGGGAGGCTTATTTTCTACAAGAATATAACAATAAAACCAGACACCACCACAGACAACGAATCAGGCTTCTCAGTACATCAACTAGAACCCAGTTGTTCCACTCCTCCTTCCATACATCTTGAAAAGAAGTGTTATTGGAAATGCACCAGTCATCTTCTACTAAACTATAATGTAAAACAGTCCCAATTTAACAGCACTTTGCTGAGAGGAAAAAAAGTGTAAAAAAAAAAAATCTCCATCCTCTCTTGTCTGATTTCAGCAAGATGCCAAGCAGACAGCACATCCCAAGTTGGTGCCTTGCTTCCAAGGAAAACCATTCATCAAGACCCTTAGGCCAACCTTAAAAAGAAATCAGGATAGATTTGATCAGCCTTGATCCTTGATGCCAGACGACTCTTCAGAGCTCGTCAGCAGAAGTCATGTAAACAAACACAGCACAACATGGCTGTAGCAATATATATGACTTTGTGACTTATGATGGCCAGTCCAGCCTACTAAGTTTTAACAGTGTTATAAAAACATCCTGATTTAATTGTATTTTAAAAGGTGCATGTAACTTCACTGATGCTGCATTACTGCTTGCCTGAGTCTTCCTACTCCAAGCTGGAAGAGAACTAATTTACAACAATGGGAGAGAGTTCTTTAGAACAATTAGAAGTCTTCTGCACTGGCTGAGCAGCTTACTGTGGTCATTTCATCTTCCCGATTTTATTTATCTTAACATGACCTCCACAAACACATACTACCATTCCGTAACAGTAGTTACATGAAGTGTTGTTTGTCACATACACCTCTTCAGGATCAATGCCATCTTATATTCTTTTCCCTCTGTGGATGCTAGACAGGATCATCCAATACAGTACAATACTAGAAGAGTCTTGTACGGTCAACAGCATACAACAAATTGAGGATACCAGTTTTCTAACACAAGGGAAAAACACTAAAGTATTCAAAATATCACTTTCAGGAGTGTGCTTTCAGATCCTGAAACCTCAAAGCATGTGTTGATGGAGAGAGAGGTGGTACCCTTACTTCTTGATGCAATTGGTCATAAGAAGATGGACATCCTGTCTCTCATCCAGCAGCAACATGGCACCTAAATACCCAATGCGCTTGTCTGTGAATTTCTGAGAAGCAATGAGCTTGAGGCACTCCAACTGGAAAAAAAAAAGGGAAAAAAAGAAAAAAAAAAGACAGAATTAGCTTAAACTACTTCTTAGCTAGAGGAGAAACAGTTTGAATTTTGATGTTTACTCATTTAGGTCTCTCAGAATGCATTTTTAGAAGTATATTTTATTCCCATTTTGGTGATGTGGAAAATAAAGAAAGGTTAAATGACTTGCCCAAAGCTCCCAGCAAGCCAGCAGGAAAGTCATCAGCAGCTCCTACATCTTGAAGTAGCCAGACACTGTTGGCTTTCCATGACCTCAGATATACCAGATATGTTGGTTTATGTCAGATCACAAAAGATATTTATAGAAACATATTTATAGAGACAAGAGATCCATCATTAAAAACAAAATAGTAAAGATCTGGAAATCTAGATCATATGTCATGTTTGATATGCACTGGAAACTTCTGAACCAGGCTTAAATGGGTCCATCTACCTACCAGAGAAAGGATCAATGCTCTTTAAGTTAAGTTGTCAAAACCAGTTTTTATTTATGATGATCTGTATCTAACTTGCTAGCTAGGTAAACTTAGTTACAGTCAGAGATCGTTAAGTTTTTGTGCTGCTCTGCAATCTCTGTTTGAACACCTGAAGTGAGACTAAAATCATATGCACTGTAGCCACTACAAGTTTGCCTTTCACTGTGTATAAATGTCAACTGTGCTCAACAGCATAAAGGAAATCCCTAAGATAACATGCATAGGTGTCACTTGCACTCAGCTGACGGAGATTTCAATTGCTAACCTGTTTTTAAACTTAACACTTCCTTACTGCAAAAAAAGACATCAATCACAAAGATATTCTGACATTACTATGCATGAAAATATTTTTCTCTAACAGATAACTAATCAAGTACAATCAGTATCTACTTTCCAGAGAGGCAGTAGCAGAAACAGCTTCTCAAAGCAGGTAAGAGACCTATCCCTCACAAACACATCCTGTAGGTCTGTTTTACAAATTAGCTGGGGCAGCAGGTAAGCATACACAACAGGTTTAAGGAGGGGTCAGACAAAGCTTGCAACAGATCCACTTTAAAGGAAGTAAAGGGGGCATGCAGAGGCAAAAATACAGGGCATCATGAAAAGTTTTTCATGGTCCCTAGCTATAGGGAAGCTTGAACAGGGCAACAGACACAGGTGAGATGCAAGAAGCACACACACATCAGGAGGGTAAAGTTGTACAGGATACCGATAAGAAAATTAAAGTTGAAGTGCCAGAGAAAGTAAGTGCTATGGCCTAGCCACTGCCAAGTTTTCACAACTGCATGGCATCAGAACATACAACTCAACTATGCAACAAGTTGTCACATACGAACACCCAGCTAGTGCAGGGTGACCAACTGGTAAGAAAAGGCTTGAGAGACAGAGAGTTCAGTTTGCCAGGTTTAAAGGGGCAGAAAACCTAGAATAAAAAAAACACCTCTGAACAGTAAGATCAGTCATCCACAAGGATAACAACTTGCACAAATGGGCAAGATGAACCAGCGATAAGGTACAGAACCACAAGACATCAACCTCTTATCTTTCCAGTTATTTCTATAAGAGAATAATGCACCTCTGAACCAGCTTTCTTCCCCAGGTTTACAAGATACTTTCTTATACAACCCTCTGCAAAAATGCAATGTAGAATTGATGACTTCTAAGCTACAGTGTAGGAGCCAACAAAGGCAGAAGACGAACGACTAAGAAAAGGCAGAAGGAAACTAATGACTGCAACAGATACTGTAAGATATATTTCTAGTACTTTTAAACTTGCAAGATATTATTGAAATTTACCCCGTGAACAGCTGATGAGTTCTTGTTTCACTTGTACACAAATACATGCAAACTGGCTTCATGCACAGCAATACCGAGAAACACGATCAGCTCAAGCTCTTATTAGTCTAATTAGTGGAAGAAATCTTGATATCATTATATCCATTTCATTCAAAGGAACAATTAAAATCTGCTACATCAGTACTGTAACAGATACATTAGCAAAGCTGGATACAATACAGGCATATAGCCAGACAACAACGTACCCAAGTTTTTACCGACATAGCCACTCACCCAACTGAATTTTTTTGCAAGTAGAAATAACAATAATAAAGTTATTTGACCATTTGCCCTGGCTGCCTGACAATTTCTAAACTTGCACAAATGGCCTTTGTGCACACTGAAGCGACAGCTTGCCATCCGGTGCATCTCAGCATACACTGGCTAAATATGGTGCTTGTGCTCAGATTTCCATACAAGATATCCTGGGTCAAAGTTGAGGATCCCTGGCTTGGAAAGAAGCGAATCAACCATTCACTACTACTTATACCTTCTCTAAATTCTGTTTTATTATTGGTTACCCCATCCACACTGTTAGCTGAAGTCAGATGTCTGCTCACATCTTTAAGAGAGACTGTCTAACACAGCCTGTGGCTCTCTTGTGTTTTTCACCAAAACATATTTCCTGCGTATTTATCCTGTCACTCTCAAACTTCCTGTCTACAATGCTGGGCTGTCTATCTACAAGGCTCCACTGCTGAAACAGTATGCATCTTCAAGAGGCCCCCAACTCACACAAACTATACTTCACCTACACAACATTAGCACTTTGAAAGATTCCTTCCAGTTATAAGCATTGAGGACACGCAAAGGTCTGCAACTTAACTCACTTGTAGAATACTCGTTAAAATCCCTTCTCAGCCTTGGGCCCTATACCTTCCTGAAAACATAGCTGATAAACTACATGAGAAAGAAGGCCATTGAATAAAGTACTCTGTTCCCAAAACAGTCAGTATAGATCTCTGTTTGAGATGTAGCAATCCCAGCAATAATAGGTATCAAATAATCTGTTTTATCCTTCTTCCACTGAGAGCAAAGAGGTAATTTACGATTACCAATCAAAGCAGAAACTGAAAAATTATTAGATATCTGGTCTAATCTTCCATATATGGGATTAAATACTTGATTAACACGACAAAATAATCCCAATAAAATTTCAACATGTTCCCAACATAGGTCAAATGCAGAAATTCTAGATGACACTTATTTGTAACACTTTTCATTCTTCTTGCAGCTTTTAAATACTTAGCCTTAATTTTTGTGACAGGAAGTTTCTCTCTTCGACCAGGGAGCCTGGCTATATGAAGTGTTAAGAATGTGATAATACACAAATTGACTTGCTCCTATGCAACAGCTCGTTATCCTGAGAGAAGGGTCCAATGATGTAGAAGTAAGATGATGCACTTTATACGCAATACCACAGCCCAGACTCGCTCCCTAACACCAAGACTATTTGGAATTTGATTTCAGTGGTTTGAACTTACTGCTTCAGCAAAACATGACAGGATTGGTAAATCCAATCATGAATGGATAGACTCCCAAGACATGAAGCTACTTTAAGGGACACAACAATTTGGCTGACTTTTTATTTAGCTTTATGAAAGGCCTAGGTTAGATAATTACTAACAGGACACCTACTGACTTCTAAGCAAAACAAACTACGCACCAAAGTCTAAGCAAAGCTCAACTTGAAGAACATCTTGTAGATCAAGAACTCCCATCTTCCCGTCCCTCTTTTCTACAATCTACCTGTGTCAAAAATAACGTGTCAAAAAATAAGCCAAGAGATGGAAAACTCATACCAGCATTCTCCAAGTCACCTCACTAAGATGGGGATAAGGAATATCAATTTCTTATTGCTAGGAACAGACCAGCTCTTATCTGCCTAGAATAGATTGTTTAGAAGGAAAAGGGTATAGAACCTCCTTTGAAGCATCTAGTATCTTCCACCAGACACAGAACTCCAAAGTGCTGTTTTGAACCCATCTATAAATATCCGTATGTACTGGACTGTGGTCTAAGAACTACTGCTCCACAGAAACACAGGGAGTGAGAAGCAGACAGTCTGGCAAAAGCACACTAACCCTAAGTTTCATAACAAAAAATATGATTCTCCAAACAGCAGATCTCACTAACAAAGTCAAAACTAACTAATGTAGGCTCAGAACATACATGAAGACAGACCTCCAAACATCACAAAGCACAGACAGCAAAACTGCAGCTAGGAACGCTCCAAATAAGTCAATGTGCCCAAAACACACAGAACAGACTGGCATATGTATATAGCACAGCAAGCATTGAACTCTGACCTACCTGTCCAAAGTGTGCAGGGTATCCCAGCATGTGCATATACAGCAGCTTTGCCACATTTCTGCATCGGTATGTGTTATCTTCCTCCCGGAAGGATGACCGGATAGCAGCACATTCCTTTTGGATCATCTCACGCTCTTCTGCCTGGGTTCTTGCTGTCCGGATGGTCCGGATCAACTCCCGCAGTCTGATGGGGGCAGGCATCCTCTGGAAGAAGAAAGAGATCTGTAAACCTTGTACTGTACCTAAAGGCTTCATAATGGTCTCATACTTTTGCGTATTTTTTTTTTCTTTCTCACCCTACAATTATGTATAAGTAGAAGAATTAAGAAAATGCAGACTGCTTCAGTAGCATGGTTAAAAGTGAACTTGAAAACCAGAGGAATTCATTGTACCCTCATATTTGCTTTTCCAGAACATTAGAAACAAGAATTGCTATGCTTTGAGCTAGCTGTCAGGTGAATGTAACATTACTCCCCACCTGAAACAGGCAGAAGGAGCACTCTGCAAGGTGTGCTCTCATATTCACATCATCTGCCTCTCTCCAGAAAAGTCAGGTTCCAAAGAGAGTTGATGCCAAAAATCATGACAACTTGGGACAGAAATCCCTTACAAAAAGCAATGCTGTTTAATAACTTGCACAAGACTGCATACAAGTGTTTCAAATAGCCATGCTTCAAAAATCCTGCAAACTTGTGCCATACACACTTCTTTCTTAGGGGCATGGAAATCAGCAGAAAAAGCAGATGGCAGGAAGAGCAATCCCAGCTGTGTGGATATTGCAGAGAATCTACTTCTAAAAACAAAGTTGACATCATTCTTTTATTACACCCCAAACAGAACAATTCTTTCTAAAACAAACAAGCCTGTCACCAACAAGGAGGGGCTGGTGGGGA